ATCCCACGTGTGGAGCGTAGAACTGGCCACCTAGGCAAGGCTGTGACTTTTTGGCAGCTTAGCTCCAGGCCTGTCTTCCGAGGCACCTCTGGGTGGCTTCGAACCACCCACCTTTTGGTTGGTCGATCGCACTGAACCCTTTGTAGCACACGCTTTGTCTCACATGCCCTTCTCTGTCTCTCTTCTCTCCCCCTCCTTTGTCGTCTCTATTAGTGTCCCATCTGTAGACTCCGCCTCCCTCAAGCTCTCTGGATCTCCCTCCGTTCGGTTCTTGCTCCTGACCGTTCGGTTCTTGCTCCTGACCGTTTCAACGTTTCTCTCATCTCCCTCAGCTCAGGGGTCTCTCCCTGGCTTGCTCTCTTCCTCCTCAGTCTCCTTGCCGCTCAGTGAGCTGGTTCACTCTCTCCCCACTCCTGTTGTCTCCCCATCTTTGCCTGGATCTCTCTGCTTCTCCCCTTTCTCCAAGCCTCTTCACCTACTCACAGATCCCAAAAAAAAACCCAGAAGCCCCTCCACCCTGGCCCCACCCCAGGCCTGGGGGGAGGGGGACGGATCCAGCCCCCACACCCACACAGGTCAGGCCTTCTGCTCTGTTAATGGTTAACCCAACTTCTATCTAGAATACACACCAGCCAGGCTGGGGGTGCCTCCCCTGGCCCCCACCCCCCACCCCCCACCAGCTGTTCTTAAAGGACCAGGTGTCCTGCTCAGCTCTCTGGCCCGCACTGAGGCATAGGGACCTGCTGGCTGGAGACCTCTAGCCCTGGGTCAGGGGAGACACCCAGCCCTCGAGGCAGCCAGGATGGGCCAGGAGAGGCTGGGAGGGGAGCCCAGGCCTGGAGCCCTAGCGTCTCTCTCTTGCTCCAGGCTTATCGTCTGGCTGTATTTAATCAGGGGTGGTTTTCCCAGCCCTGCCCAGAGCCCAGGCTGGCAGTGCCAGGGGTGACAGAGGACCCGATACCAGGTGGCTGGGGGATGGGACCCCCTGGGTCCAAAAACTGGGGGTTCAGGCTATTAGGACCCTCCCGATGTGGAGGATAAACCCCCAGGGTTGCTAATACTGAGACAGGTAACTCTGCCAGGTGTGAGGCGGACACCTGGGTAACCAGGAGGGGGTCAGGACGGTCTGGCGCTCCAGACTGGGGTGATAAAACACTTGGGTTCTTGAGATCTGGGGGTGACCTTGGGTCTCCACGTGTCGCTGAATGGCGGAGGGCATCATACCCCTAATCTCCGCTCCCCTCCCCCACAGGATGCACCCTGGCATTCCTCCTTCCCAAAATCTCCCTGAGACTCTCGAGGCGGCCACCTGGGTGGGGGCTGGGCTTCTGGGGCCGCCCCCTGGCCTTAACCCTTTCTTTGCAGCGGTCGCCTCACGCCCCGCCCTGTGACGCCAGTATGCAGGAAGTCCTGGTTAATGATCAGCCCACCCGGACAGGTGCGGGGCAAGGCCGCGCACATCAGAGGCGGCCGCGGGGGGAGCTGCATCTCCCTCTTTCTAAGGTGGCCCGCGATGGCCCTGGTCCCCCCCCCAAGTGCGGGTGAGGAGCCCAGTTAAACTTCCCAGGAGTCTGCCTCTGCGGGTCTCCGGCACCACCCCGGGCGAGCCCCGGCGACCTTGTTTCCAGGAAATCAGTTAGTTTACCCTGTGGAGGTAAACTTCCTTTTCCCTCCTTTAGTCCCTCTAGCAGTCTAGCCTCAATTCTCTCCCTGCCCAACAGGAACCCACCGCCCGTCACTTCTAGCCAGCCTCCCAGCGTCTCTGCCCCTCCTTCCCGGAGGCGCCAAGTCCTCCACGTTCTGCCATATGCAAGGAAGGGACCAGCGACTGAATGGAAACCTTTTCCCAAGTTTGGCTGTGCCTCCTACGCACGTGCCATCCCCTCTCTGGGCCTCACCTCTGTCACCTGGAAAACGGGCGGCCGGCTAGGTCTGCGGACAGCCTTTGTGAAAGACAGCCGGCAGGCCGCCCGCGTGAAGGGCGCCACCTGGAGGCCACAAGTCAACGTGCTCTCTGCAGGACTACCTCCGTCCCTAAGGGGGCGCAGCATCTCAGACAACTAAGGGACCCAGAAGAAAAAAAAAAAATCTTTCGGTTTATTGAAGGAGGAAAAAGGGGCGGGAGGGGGGCAATAAAATGCTTTTGCTTCGTTTATAAAGAGCAAAATTTCAGGAGACCCCCATTTCAAGGAAGAGGGGACCTCTCCCCCAACTACAAGCAGCAGAAAAGCCAAGCCAAGGAGGGGAGAGGGAAATTGGAGGGGCCCGGGGACCCCAAATACCCCCTCGGACAGGAGCCACAAGCTTTCTCCCCCCGCCCCCAATGCATCTACCCCAGGGAGGCCATCAGGGCCGAGGAAGGGGTTATGTACACGGGTAGGAACGGCCCTGGGCTGGGTGGGGGAGGGAATAATTTATCCGCAGCAGCGGTGGGTGTCCAGGGGGGCAGGGAGCAGTAGCCTGGTGGCAGTGCTGGCCTAGGGGTCCCGCTCTTTCTTGACCTTGATGTCTCCAGCAAGGATGGTGGCGATCTCACCCTGCATGAAGGCCCAGGGGACGGAGGAGCCCACGAGCGGGCACTTGTCTCCACTCGGGCAGTACACTTCGCCCGCTGGGCCCTGGGCCTTGATGAACTCCCGCGAGCAGGGGAAGCAGAACTTGTGTCCGGGCACCGAGGGGCACTGGACAAAGTGGGTGTCTTCCAGCCGCTCCCGGCACAGGGTGCAGCACAGGGGGGCCCCCGGGGTGGCCCCGGGGCCGCTGCCACCCCCGCTGACGGCTTCGGCCCCCGCCGTGGGGCTGACTTCGGCCTCACCGTTGCGCGACACCAGCCGATGCTGGGCTGAGGGCTGGGCCGTGGAGGAGGCTGCGGGGCTGGCACCGCCTGCCCGCACGGGGCCCCCACCCCCGCCGGGGTCCTTGGGTGAGTGGCCCAGGGCCTCGGCCACATTCTTCAGAGCAGCGATGGGTGAGGGCACGCCCGGGGTCTCGGCGGAGTACGGGCCACCAGGCGCCACCCAGTGCCGCTGCTGCTGCTCCTCGGTGGTCAGCTTCCCAGCCGCTTCGCCCTCCGGCTCAGGGGACGCCTTTCGCCGACGTGGTGTGGGCGCCAGGTTCCGGGATGGGGCTCTAGGGGGCGGACCACACAGCGCTGCGGGGGCCGGCTCTGGGTACTGCTGGGGCAGGGCCTCCGCCGGAGCGGGCTCTCGGAAGCTGCGGACTCCATCCGTGAGCAGCTCGCCCAACTGGCGCCATTCCCCCGAGCCATGGCGGCGCTCATATTCCAGGTACTTGAAGCCCGAGGAGGCCAGGGCCTTGCCTGGCTCCCGCAGAGCATCATGGAACATCTGTCGAGCGACGGCGAGGACCCCTGCGTAGACGTTGCCGGAACCACACGGGTACTCGGTGAAGAGCTTCAGCTCGAACTCGTAGCCTGGAGGCCGGGCAGTAGCGTCGAAAGCGAACACTCGGCCCACCAGCCCGTGATCCTTCTTAAAGCGGACATTGAAGGGAGCGCAGGCGGAAAGGGCCAGCAGCTGTTCACGCACTGCTTTGGGACGCCCGTGCCACTCCTCTGCCCGGCCCCTCATGGCTTCGTTCAGTTCCGCCAGACAGTCCGCATTCCTCTGCTGCTTCTCCTTCTCAAACTCGGAGCCGAAGGTTGGACGGGCAGGACTTAAGCCGGGGGCCAGCGTCAGGCCCCGGCTTCCCAGGCCGGACACTGCGGCTGCCAGCAGCCCGGGAGGAACCAGGCCCGGCATGGAGCCGAGCAGGGCCCGTCGCGCCCCCTCGGCCACGGCCTCCTCGCGGCCCAGCCCATTGGCCAGGCGCGACCCCAGCGTGTACTCCAGGGCGGGTGAGGGCAGCGGGAGGCGGCCCGATGAGGTGGCTCTATCATAGCGGTCCTGGCCCGAGACGCCACCGCCGGTGCCCGACGGCTGGGGCTGGGGCTGCGGGGGCGGTAGCTGAGGCCCCTGCGTGGCGGCCGCTGCCAGGTCCTTGGTGGACGGGTGCTTGGGGGCCGGGGGCCCCGGCGAGCGGCCCTCAGGGAGCACGTGGCTGCGCTTGAGCTGGCGGGCAGCGTCGATAAGCAGCTCGATGCGGTCCGCGCCCTCGAAGTTCACGCAGCCGCGACACACGGCCTCACTGAAGTCCCACACCATGGCCCACGGCATCTTAGGCAGGTCGCACAGGTAGCACCACTGGCGGCGGGACGCCTGCACCGACGCCATGGCCCCCGTGCGCGTGCCGCCGGGCCCCCGCGTTCCACCCGCGCCGCCGACGTTCGATCCGCGTCCCCGGGACCGCGCGAGCCACAGCCTGGCCTCCGGCTCGGCCTCCCCGCCGGATCCAGGCCCGGCCCCCCTTCCCCGCCCCCTGGGCCCTAAGCCTTTTTCCTCACTCTCGCCAAGCCCCTGAAAAGGCAGGCAGAGGCACGTCGGCGCCCTCAGCCGATCCGGGCTCAGGGCCGAGGCGCACAGCTCCGGCCCTGCGATGGGCCGCGAGCGCCGCCGCCTCAGGCTCCCGCCGCTCCCGCCGCCGCCGCCGCTGCAACGGCCGCCGCTGCCTCCACCTCCTTCCTCTGCCCCAGAGGCCGTTTCGCAGGGAAAGTTACATAACGCTACGGCAAAGCCTTCTGGGAAACGTAGTCCCGCAAGGGCCAGCTCTTAAAGGGGACAGAGGGCAGGAAGGGGGCTCGCCGCTTTTCTACGCGCGCCCTTCCCTTTCTTCGCCACTGGGCGGGGTATCCGGCATGTTCCGGGCAGCTGAGGCTCAAGGGTGGAGAGTGGGAGTGTGATAGAATGATCAGAGCTAAAATGGCTTCGGACACTGTGGCAGGTGGACAAACTGCCGAGTGTCTATTCCTGCACGGACTTGCTGTGCAGCTTTAAGTAAAAATCTTGCCTTCTCTGAGCCTCAATTTCCCCGCCTATCAAAGGAAGAGGTGGGCCAAAGACGGGTTAGGAGAGCAGCAGCTCCTGGGGCGGAGCAAGGCGCCCTCATTGGATGGTTTCAGAGCTGGAAGCCGGGAAGCTGTCAAATGCGAGCGAATTGTTCACTTCGCACTTGGTTTTCCGCACATTCCTGGATATCTGCCTGTAACTGAGATCGGGAAAAGCCGAAGAAAGGCAAAGACTGAGCATCTTTGGGCCAGGCCTCTGCTTTGGTTTCCTCATCTGGTAAAGGAGAGAGCGGCCGAGCGCCCTCCAACTATTTCAACGCCACTGGCGCGCTCTGGCTTCCAAAGGGTTACACCGCTGGTTTCTCCGCTTCACTACCATCACCAAAATGCTCTGCGGGTCGGATAAACTGACGCATTTCCGCTGTCTGGGAGGTTGAGGGAAGGCCTTCACAGTTCCGCTGTGTCTGTTGCGCCCCTCCCCCCCCATTCTGTGCTCTTGGTTCGAGCAACCTTCATCTCCTCTTGCTCCCCAGTTTGCAAATATGGGAAGGGGGCCAGAGATGGCGAGCAAGATGGTGTATGAGTTAGGGGAAAGCAAGCACCGGACCACTTCCCCCCAAAATTGATTGCTTACCACCTGCTAGGTCCAAACAGACCTTGGGGACCCCCAACCTTTCTCTCCTAGGAATCTGGGACAGTAGGAGCCATGCTTGGTTAGGGTGCAGGTCTCTAGGTTCTAACCCACATCAGCCCCTTTTTGTTTGTAGGCCGGGGTCCGTGTTTAAATGCTCAAAAGTACTTGAGTGAAAAGTAAAATACTTGAACCACTTGGCAGAGGTGCGTTCATTAGTGGTTTACAAACTAGCCCGGGGCTGCCTCCTCTGTTCACCTCTCATCCAACTGTAACAGCTGCAGGGTTACCTGTTACCCAAACCTCAGTCTCATCTTCACAATTTTACTTACACCTGTAGCATCATTTTCTTAACATTGTCAGAGGGGGGGGATCCCTTAAAAAAAGCTATCCAAGCAATATTATCCGCACACCTGTGGGTCCGCACACCTGTGGGGTTTCATGTATTAACATTTTGTAAAAGAAAAAAATTAAAGCTAAGTACAGACCCATGAACAAGTCCACGGATCATCTAAAACTGACTTTGGCCACCTCTGTAGGAAATACTAAGGCGCTCTAGTGGCATGTTGCATAGGACATTTGACTGCTAACCAGAAGGTTGGCAGTTCAAACCCACCACCCACTCCACAGAAGGAAGACTAGGCAATCTACTTCTGTGAAAGTTTATCACCTCAAAAACCCAAAGGGGGCGCTATGAGTCAGGAATGACTTGATGGCAGTAAGTTTGGGTTTTTTAGTAGGAAATACTAAGGGCTTCTGGTGGTGTGGTGGTTAAGGCATCTGGCTGCTAACCAAAACGTCAGTGGTTCGAACCTACTCTGCAGAATAAAGATGAGGCAGTCTGCTTCCACAAAGATTCACAGCCTTGGAAACCAGAATTGATTCGACAGTAGTGAGTTTGGTTTGGTTTTAGGAAATACTAGAGGAAGTCTGGAGTCCCTGGGTGGTGCGGAGTCAGAGTTAACGTACCAGGTTGCTACCCAGGTTAGAGGTTCGAGTCCACCCAGAGTTGCCTAGAAGAATGGCCTGGTAGTTGACTTCCAAAAGACCACCCACTGAAAACTCCATGGAGCAACAAGTTTTACTCTGACGCACATGGAGTTGCCAAGTCAGTCAGAACTGACTTGATGGTAATCAGTTGTTGTTGTTAGGCACTGTTAAGTCAGCTCCAACTCACAGCGACCCTGTGTACAACAAAACAAAACAGTGTACAACAACACTGCCTCATTCTACACCAGCCTCCCAATCCTTGCTACACTTGAGCTCATCACTGCAGCCACTGGGTCAATCCATCTCATTAGGGGTCTTCCCTTGCTTCGCTGACCCTCCACTTCACCAAGCATGATTATCCTTCTCCAGGAAATGGCCCTTTCCAACAACATGACCAAAGGACGTGAGATGAAGTCTGGCCACTCGCTTCCAAGGAGCATTCTGGCTGCAATTCCTCTGGGACAAATTTATTAGTTCTTCTGGCAGTCCATGTCCAAACAGACTTCAGTATTCTTCACCAACACAACTCAAAAGCATCAACTCTTCTTCAGCCTTCCTTATTCATTATCCAGCTTTCACGTGAATATTAGGCAACTGAAAACACCTTGTATCAGGTGCACCTTAGTCCTCAAAGTGACGTCTTTCTCAAGACTTTAAAGACGTCTTTTGCAGCAGACATGCCCCGTGCAACACGATGTCTGATTTCCTTACTGCTGTCTCCATGGGTGTTAACTGTGGACCCAAGTAAGATGAAATCTCCGACAACTTCAATCTGTTCTCCGTTCAGCATCATACTGCTTTATTGGTCTAGTTCTGAGGCTTAACTGGTGAGTGGGAGTTAAAAATCGTTCTGGCCAGAGGCAGGCTCCAGGTCACCTAACCTTTTATTCTTCTTCTGAAAAAATGGAGACCCTTAAAAGACTGCTCTTCATTAAGGTACCTTTAGTGTAATACACCCACTGCTATCAATCTGATTCTGACTCACAGCACCCCTAGAGGACAGAGTAGAACCGCCTCATAGGGTTTCCTATAGTGCCTAAGGCACTTGACTGATAACCAGAAGGCTAGCGGTTAAAACCCACCAGCCACTCCTCGGAAGTAAGGTTGGGCAATCCTACTTCTGTAGTGATACTGCCTCGGAAACCCAAGGAGCGGTCGCTATGAGTCAGGGCTGACTCGAGGGCACATAACAACAACAACAACAATCTTGATAGAAGTAAAAGCCCAAACCAAACCCACTGCCACAGAGTTGATTGTGATCCACAGCGCCCCTAGAGGACAGAGTAGAACTGCCCCAGAGGGTTTCCAAGGCTGTCAATCACCAC